GATGAATCAGGATTCAATATGAGACAATCCCCACCTCATTTACACACCCAAACCTCATCCAATATTCTATAGAAGCAAAGCTCAAATGTTTGCCCTTTCAGGATCTCTTACCTGTAAAGATTATTGAGAATGTGTGTGTGTGGGTTTTTGTTGTGTGTGTGTGTGTATCATATCTGTTTATATTTATCATATAGAAAATCAGAAATTAAAGCTACAAATTTTAAAATATGTTAGTTGTTTTAGTTCATTTAATAACAATGATACCACTATTTATATGTTAATGTAAACTTCATGTTTTATGAAAAATAACCCTGTTTTTAAAAACTAGTAATAAATGACACTTTAAAAATTTTGAAAACCTTCATTGAATAATATCAACAGACAGCTTGGATTCTCAGATCAGCTTTGCTTCAATCCATTGCACTATGTCTGTTATTGCTGAACTCTTAAAGAACATCTGCCTTCAGCAGACATACACATTAACTTGAAAGGTGAGATTCACAGGCACCCAAGGACCTTGGGATTCACATGTCGTTTGACTACAATTTGACAATCCCTTTACTGGAAGTAAGACACTAGGCTCACAAGACTCCAAAAACTGAACGAAACAATCCATTTACCCTAGTAAAGCATGAATAGGAGAAGCTAATGATACAGCTCACCATCAGCTGGATAACACCCACTGAACTCAGACATGTGAGTCATTGCTTGTCAATCATCCTCTATCTTCAATAAAAATGGCAAAAGAATTTTGTATTTTCATAAATTTAGTTCTTGTATAACAGCGATGGAGGCTTTTAGCATGCTAACTCCATTTCTTGCTTCTGACCACCAGCAGCAATATCCCCTAGGTTAAAACTTTCTGCTTAGGCTCTGTATGTGGGCCTGCTAATATAAGAGGGTATTAAGTCTACCTTAGAAGAAAAATGATAATGTGGCCTTTCCCAAACTAACTCCTGGGGAGGATAAGAAAGGTCATGCAAGCAAGTACAAGTTATGTTAAAGATTTATAGGAAGTCAACGTGACCTAGCACAAAGAAGTCAACTTTTCCAGAAAAAGAAGTTTTGAACCCTTTGGTCCCGCTGACCCCCAATTTTTTTGTGTCGCAGTCATCTCTTGACCTTAATGCCTTCTCTTCCCCCTTCCTTTAACATGAAAAAGGAACCTAAAGATTGTTACTAACTTAAGAATGTTCTTTGAGACACTAGTCGTCCATCTTCTCTGTTTGCTGCTCTCCGAAATAAATGCTTTCCTCACCCCAACACCTTGTCTTCTAATCAGCCCCAAACACCTTGTCTCTCAACTATCAGCCCCAACACCTTGTCTCTCAACTTATAGCTGTTAGCAGATTGTACAGCTGGACTTGGTTACATTTGGCTGTTGTTTTATAGCAGAGTATTCATGGCAGTGTTAAAGGGTAGAATACCACCAGAATGGAGGCCCTCCCTCTCGCTCATGTTTTACGAGTATGTTTTACTAAGTGAAGAACCATATAAAACTAGAAAACAAAATCTAGGTGTCTACAGCTACGTCAGCCTGGAAAGAGATGACCATCTAGGAGGATGGGGAGTACATACACCAGATTGTAGGAATTACCTTCAACCTACTCCGCATCTTTGTATCCCTCTGAGATGACGCCCAAAAGGAAGAACACCAGCTTTGGGGGGGACACCCTTGGATTAATGGCTACTTGGTATTAACGCACTCTCTGTGCTTGAGTACTCATCTCGAATGTGGATGACAATGTCTGCCTTATAGACTATTGTGAGGTTAAACAAGTTATATATAAATAAAGGATTTCCTCTCAGAAGTTGCTTTAGCTTCAATTTGCTCTACAATAGTCACCATATGAAAATTGAAAAAGGTATACTTCCCAGGCCCACATTTTTATCCTACATATTAAAAATAAGGCATTAAGTCACCCTTTCTAGTATCTCTAATCTAGAAAGATCAGAGTCCTAACCCAAAATTCTGAGTGTAGAGATGTTACCAGATTCTCATTACATGGAAAATGACAGAGATTTCTTCCACTACATGTGATTATTTGTGGTGGACAATTGTTCATTCCCCAGTATCTTTTGGTTAAGTGACACCACATGTGCAGCTGGAAGATTTGCTGTGTCAAACCACAGCTATCACAATCCTGTACAATGGGCAGAGCTTCAGTACATCAGCCCTAAAAACACGGATAGTACACACGTACCGTCAACAGCAATGCGACTGTGATACATACCACAGGGGGTGGTATTGCTCTTTCATTGGGATATAACAGTCAGAATATTTAAAGTAATAATTGGAATAAACAAAATATCCCCCATAAACTGAATTAAACATGGTGTAATTTTTACAATGGAATTTTAGGCAGCTATTCAATAAAATGAGCATCTTCTGGCATTAAATATTATCCAAAAAATATTTGTTAGTGAGGATATGGCAATAGGCCACTGCTAACAGTTCTGCTTGCTGCTATAACAAAATAGCCATAGGCTGCGAACCAAATACTACACACTGGGCTGCTTAAACACAGAAATGTCTTCCTAGTTGCAGGGAAAAAACAAGCTATCTCCTCGTATACTCACACTTACACTTCTGGTTACCAAACTTTGGACAGTTTTCCCACATGGACCTATTCCCCAACACCAACTGGGTGTCCTGCAATTCAATTGTGAACAATAATCTGGGTTGTGCAGACTCCACAGGTTTAAGGGCTTCAGTCCACAAACTGTTCCGCCACTTCGTGGGCCAATCCCACCAGTAGCAGAATGATATCAGTGCTCTTAACCTACTGGCTACAAATCAGAGGTTCCTTCAACCTCTTTTTCCTCAGGTTCTATCATTCCTAAAGGGCTCACGCACTTAGACAGGAGAAAGCACTACGTACGTTCACCACGCTTATCATAAGGATATACTAAACTACAGATGAAGAGATTACACAGGACAAGTTTGGAGAAGGTTCTGAGTGCAGATCCTCGGTCTTTGTGGAGTTAGTTGTGCCACTGTTGCACAGCATGTGGAGTAGGTCTTGTCACCAAACCCAAACTCTCCAAACCTTCTCCTTTGGGGTTTATGTAGGCATGATTGATTAAATCACTCGGCCACTGTTGATCAATTCAACCTTCATCTCTCTCCCTCCCGATGTTAGGGTGGAATGAAGTTCCAACCCTCTATTGGAAAACCATCCCCCCAGAGTTGACAAGAATTGCAATGTCAGGTCTGACCATAAAATATTAGGTACAATTACAGCATTAATCAGTTGCACTTTGTTTAGCCATTCCTTGTGGCTGTTACTTCACCAAAAGTTTACATAGTAGCTCTGAATACTGACCGTTTGTTAGTCCCCGTGTTCCTACAGACAGGATTCAACATGTGGTAATCACAAAGACTTTTGTTTATAAATGCTTACTATGTTTTTCAGAATGCCAGCAAACAGCTGCTGCCAACCAGTTTGTAGACTCCCACAGCAGAAATGAATATGCATGAGGAGGCAGATTTCTCCATCTCACCTTCCCATCACTTCACCCTGCACTCTTCAAACAATCTACAACTCCCCATGTTTCAGCCTACTCCAAACTCCTCAGGAGGCAGATTTGAGTTTCACTCACTCTCCTCATTCAGCAGCCGTACATTTAAAACCTCTTTCTCGGCTACAATCCAAGTGTATTAGTTGCTGCACATCAGCAGCAAAGCCGTATTAAGGTCCCATAATCACTGTTGGTCCTCCTAGCAACAGCCCACACCCACACGCGAGGCTCTCCAGTGTCCCAACCACAGTCATTTCATTATCATATACAGCTTCAGAAATTTTGAAGAGTTTAGAGTATTGTCAGAAACAGAGAGAAAACCAAATGATATATTGTTATTTCTTATCATAAAATCACAATATTATCATGCTCAAGTTTTGGTACGCTGGGCAACCAAGGTTTGCAGAGTTCAGTTTCTGTGAGGGACATCCTTCCCAGCTCTGACAGCGCCCTCCCACTCTGTCTTTACATGTCGGTATGAAGGAATAAGCTCTTCTGTGTCTTCTTCCTATAAGGATTCTAATCTGTGAATCAGGGTCCAACCCTTTATGACTTACTTTTAACTTGAACTTACCTATTGCAGGCCCTCTTCCAAATACAGTGACATTGGGAGTTAGAACTTCAATGGTTTTGGAGGGGCATAATCAGTCAGAGCAAACACTGTTTAAATCTCTCTTTT